CAGCAGCAGCAGCAGCAGCAGCAGCAGCAGGAGCAGCAGCAGCAGCAGGAGTAGCTGCATCAGCAGATGACACGAAAAACGTTGAGCCAACTAATTTTTTGTATCAAGCCAAGTGAATTAAAGTTTTAATAACTTGTGCTGACAAGCGCCTTCCGTCCGTTGGCCACGTCGAGTACGGTGCCCAGTGCACTATCAAAGTTAATTGAAAATCTGATGGCTAGTCATAAGCAAGCGTTAACTGGCAGCCTAATTGCAAAAGTGCATCAAAGCAAATTGCAAGCTACTATTGACAGCCGCTAAACGAAAAGCTGACAAACCAAAAAAAGGAGACGAAGCAAAAGGAACTCAAATTGCAGACATGAAGATTAAATACCCTACTCGAAGTGAAAGACATAAGAGAGAGGAGACAAAATGAAGCAGAGAAGAGACTACTAAATTTAGATATATAATATTAAAAAATTAAAGATTGACAAGCGAGACAAAATCATATAGCGCATATATCATATATCGCTGACAAATCTGTAAGGCTCTGGGGATGCATCAAATATACAGCAAATTAAAGCACACAGAACACGTCAATTTTGACAAGAGCCTTTGCAACACACACCTGTTGTGGACAGGTGAGGATGCCAGCATAAATATCCATTTAAAGCAAGTCCTTGGTGACAAAATGTAGCTAGCATAATTTATTACCGACAGCAGACTCTATACACAAACAAACAAAAGAGCCGAAAAGAGGTTTTTAATTTAAGCTGGCACGCACACACACACACACACTCACACAGAGATAGAAAAAGCAAGAGAGAGAGAGAGAGAAAATGAAAACAAAAGTCTGGCTGGACAAATGTGTCGGAACGCTCAAGAGCTGTAAGAGTAGAAAAACATTTCATTAGTTCAATTAGCCAACAGAGCTACGAATACGGAGATGGCATTGGTTGGCCGGTGTCGAGTGGGCGGTGCTGGTGGTGTCGGTGGTGTCGGTGGGTGTCTAGTGGCAGCACTCTAAACGATGATTAGTGTCCTCTCCTCTTGTCACATGGCATACAAGACAAATTATAGTTTGCTTAGCCCCTGGCTGGACACTTAAATGCAAATTTATTACCAAACAGCGAAACAGAGACTAAGCAAACGTAAACTGGCATTGCCAATGGCTTCTATTTACGGTCATTAGCACGGCACTGAGCTAGCTAGAGAGAGTTCAATGTGCAGTTACTTAGAATTAAATATTCAAGTACTCCAAAGACAGAGCCTGACTCCTGCGACGTCTGTTAGTTTCACAATCGAAAGTTGAGAGGCCTTTTTAACCAAAAAATTAATAAATAAATTTCATTTAATGCATTTGTGACTTTTATTATTAATACACAAAATATTTGCACTTAAAATGCTTTTATTATATGCTTTTAAAATGCTTTTATTATCAGTTGACACATGAGCAATTACTCTGAATATATATATTTTCATATTCATTTATTCTAGCAAGAAAATAAATTGTTTATGGCAAAAATATAACGTTCAATATTTAAGAAATTATCAATATAAAATATTGAATTAATGAATTTTAAAAAAAATCCGCTAGGAGGTAGCTGAAATATAACGAAAATAATTTTTATGAAATATGGAAAAAATACATATGAAAAATTTAATACGAAAATGGATATTAATAACATTAAACAAGCCAGAAAATTGATGTGTAACATAGCTCCGCTATATTTGCCATAGATAAAGCCAATATTGGCTAATAATAATATTTTGTAAAGTATCAATGATTCAATCATTTATATCTGAATAGATTATCCTCCATTAGCATTTCGCAATCTTGTTTCAAAAGCAAACATATGTACCTTCATTGATACACTCGCCTCTACACAGACATCTGCGAGGATCCCATTGAGACTCGCCCAGTTGGGAAATTAAAAAGTTGCTCCAGTCAATTGACTACGTGTCAGGCATTTATTGTTGTTGTACATAATATTGTTAGAGCCGGAGTGAACAATGTTTGTGCGTGGCTGTGGAGTGTATTGCAAGTGGCTGGGGCAACGGTAAACGCGTTAATATGCCTAATATGCAAAACTGTGGGTGCCATAGTCTGGCCACTCAACGCCCTGGACTAACTAACCTAATTATTTGCGAAATGCGCGCGCCGAGGAGCAGGGGGAGCGCAAGTGGAACACCACAATGCAAGCCCATTGTAGACCACAGCAGGTGGCAGGTGGCAGGTGGCAGGTGGCAGCTGGAAACTGGAGAGCAGTTCAGAGCTGACGGCCTAGAGGGCAGTTGCCAGTTGAAGAGAGGAAGGACACAGCAGAGCACGCGTAATGAAAACTTTGTTAAAGCAAAAGTGCAACTGCGGAAAGAAAAAAAAAACTCAATGTATATGTAACACAGGAAAAGCAAGCTGAAGAGCACCCTACCTCGGGAGGGGGAGGGGCAGGGAGAGTGAGAGAGTAAGTGAGTGAGAGTGAGAGTGTAAGGCGAGTAGCCTCCAATGGTGTCGAGTGCTGCTGTGTGGCATCCGGAGCATGGACGTAAACGTGAACGTGGCGACAACGTGAAATTAGTTGTGCATGTCTGTAGCACAAAAGCCGGGTATTACGAGAGCTGCAAAAAGAAACTCTGACCACCGAATTTCCATGATGAAGTGTTGCCAGACAGACGGCCAGCCAGCCGGCCAGCCAGCCCTGGACGATGTTGATCAAATTAACAGCATGTGGTCGCTTTTCCTGGCCTCACTTTGCTGTAGCATACTTTTCAGCGGCCACGCGACTCACGCAAATTGCCAAAGCGCACCAGCTGCCTAATTGTTGCTGCGAACTCTGATGCTGCCACCAGCAGCAGCAGCAGTTGAGATTTTTCACAAACTTGAAGGACGCGTGACACTATTTCAAAGTCAGACTGCAAATAAATTACGGAATTCGGCACGAGTTATTATAAATTGCAGCCAAAGGGCAACAGAAATCAAGAGCATGGAATCTGAAGGTTTCTCCAAGCAACTGTCATCTGTGTGTGTGTAATTTCTAACCCCTTGGCAGCAGATTGAAATATTGGCATTTCAAGCCAACAAAAACAGAAGCAGGAAGCAGAAAAATTTGACAAAGCGAATATTAAATACACTGACTTAAGATATTTATATACACATATACACAAAAATCCGACAG